TTTGGTAGCGCCTCGTGGAAAGAAGAAAGATTCAGAAGATCAAGTCAAGTTATAGGTCAAGTGTCAAGTATAGTATTAAGTTTAGTATTAGGTTAAGGTTTAGGTTAAGGTATACCTTGAAGACATAGTTAGTTAGTTAAGTTAAGTGACATAAGACATAAGGTTAGTGAAGTGACACATAAGGTAGACACATATAGTAGTAAGGTAAAGGACTTGATAGGATAGAAATTAATTTAAGTTGGTTAAAGAGAAGGTCATCATGGAACAATTTTTAGAAGAGTTTACACGTATTCATAAGGAATTAGCAGATAAAGAAGGTAGACGTGAAGAGATTTTGTTAGACACATTGAGACAAGGTTTTGAATTAATGGAACAAAGATCAATTGATAATAAAAGTAATAGGAATAATGTTAAGGCAGGAAAGGTAGTTACATTCAAGGATAGTAGAAATGCCGTTGAAGTTAATGGATTTTTATCAAGTGTTAAGTTGTATTTCACCATGAACAAGGTTGAAGATGATACAGAAAAGGTTATGTTATTCGGTACATATTTATCAGGAACTGCACAATATTGGTTTGATCATTACATCCAAGGAGATTACCATAGATTTACATATGAAGAAGTAGTTAATGCATTTAAAGCAAGATTTTTACCTGTAGGATATGAAACAACAGCAAGAGAACGTTTAGAAAGGTTAAGACAATTATCATCAGTATCAGATTATATTAGTAGATTTACAGAACTCGCATCACAATTAAGTTTTCCATACGACACACCACGTTATCAGATAGATCGTTTTGTTGAAGGTTTGAAAGGAGAAATCAAGAAGTTAGTTAAAGTATATAAGCCTAAAACTTTAGAAGAAGCTTTTCAATTAGCACAATCATTAGATGATACAAGTAAGAGTGCAAGAAACAAATTGGTTAAAAATAATTTTGCTCAACATTTTACATTTAGAAGAAACAATGACAATGAAGGTTACCATGCTAGAGAAGGTTCATATAGTAGACCAGATCCCGATGCAATGGATATAGATGAAGTCCAGATGCAAGGAAATGCAAGATACCGTAAAGGAAGAAACAATTTTAGATCAACAAAGTTAAGATGTTACACCTGTAATAGGTTAGGACATTATTCAAGAGATTGTCCAGAGAATAATAGAGATGAAGAAGAGTTAAACAACTCCGCTTAGAGAAAGTAGACATCCCGTCTAAGCATGATAGAAAAGGGATACATCAGATGTACATTAGAAATAGAAACACTAAAAAACATAAAAACCAAAAACAATTGAAAGCTAATTTAAAAACAAAAACAATAGACAGAGAAGAACATGGAGAATCAGAAAATAATTTAAAACTAGAAAACATTTTTTATCTTGAAGATATTGAGGAAGTTGAAGCTGCTGAAAGTAAAGAAGATTCAGATCGCGAGAAATCAGAAATTAATGAAAAACATAAAGTTAGTTTACACATACCAAAAGGAAAAGCATTTGTTATACCAGTTGAAGTAAAAGGTTATTCAAAGAAACATGTTAATGCGTTAATAGATAGTGGAGCGCAAAGTCATTTTATATCAAAGAAGTTAGCTGAAGAAATAGGCTTGGATAAAGATTCAGTTGAAGTTGAACCAATAGAGATACAAGTTGCGTTAAAAGGAAGAGGTACGAAAACAAATAGAGCTGTACAAATACCATTAGAAGTTAAGTTAGAGAATGAAAGAAATATAGTTACAAATATATCAACGTATATTGTTGAAGGATTAAAGGATCAAATATACTTAGGTTTACCATTTGTTAAGAAGTATGCTAAGTATTTACCATGGGAATCAGTTGAAGTTAATCAAATAGGAGATGCTATTGAACATCAAGAATTAGATTATCAAAAGACAGAAAGAATTAAAGGAACAAAGGAAAAAGATAAGGAGAAAGCAGGTACAGATTTTAGTCAATTATTAGGTTTATTTGAATTAGATACAGAGCCGCCGAATACCGTCAGGAGGGACGAAGAGAAAACCATCACCAGGAATACAAAGGATTATCAGAAGTTAGAGAAAGTAGGTTATGCCGTCAGAAATAAGGACGAAGATTCGAAAGGACTAGGAGGTATTATGAAGTCTAGAGAATTAATGGATAGTGAACAGTTGAAGCAAGAAGATAACACAGAGTTAAATCAAATAAAATTGTGAAAGAAGGTAATGAAGTTAGAAAGAATACATCAATTAAAGGTAGAGAATCCAAGAGGGATTTAAGCTATAAACATCAAAGAAAGAAAGGTTTAGGTATTGCAGATTATACTAGAAAGAATGAAAAGGAATTTAATTCGAAAAGTTATGTTAATGAACTAAAGTTAAAGGAAATGAAAGACATCCACCAAACACATAAACTATTACAACAAGAGAAAGAAATCAACTCTCAAGCTCAAAAGGAGGAGATGTTGAAGAGAAGACTTTGGTTTACAGATTTTGATAAGTCAGAACGACCCAGTGAATACATTAAGTGAAGACAATCACACACATACAATCAACAAAGAAAGTTTTAGTACATGAAAGAGACAGAAGTGAAGAAGTTAATTCAAGATAGTCACAAGTAAGAATATGTCATCAATCATTAATACATTTACACACATCTAAGACAAGAACATAAGGTTCTAGAACAGATTCAATTAATGAAGTTATTATCATCAAAGAGTTATTACATTAAGTTATTATCAAGTTATTACATTAATTTATTACATCATTATTATTTCGTATTACAATATAGTTAAGCTAAAAGAGTTTGTTATTAGCTCATACATCAAGAAGCAGTCACTATTAATTTATAATTCTATTGTCAGTTCAATGCATTGTTAAATCATTGGTCATCAACATTTATCATATATTAGATTATTTATCATTTATCATTTATCAGATATCAGTTATCAATTATTACTACAATTTATATTGCATATATATCAGTTCATATCATTATCGTTTACCAATATTCAATCTTACAATTATCAAATATAAACATTAACATTCATTTTCAACATTAACATTAACATTCATTATCAACATCTACACATTAATTTAATTTATTCTATTACCATTCAGAAGAGAGTCAACATGATCCATTCAATTTTATATTCATATTGAAGGAACCTAAACATCACATTATTATTTAAAAGTCAAATCACATTCATTTTCATATATATGTCGGAGACAATTATCATTATCATTTTGAAGTCGGAAACAACTAAGGCAATCATTTAAAGCTACAGAAAGCACATTAGACCATTAGACATTCTTATCA